CATTCACTCATATGAATTCATTAAATAGTGTCTTTTTACTCCCAAATTTATTTTGAATTATTGAAATCAAAGAAAAAAATCAAAAAAAATTTCTCGAAATTTTTATTTTCAAAAAAAATTTGGATTTTATATTGAAAACTGACACTGGGAGGACGATAGGGCTGGGATTGGAGATACCCCGCTCACTTGGGAAAAATACGGATCTATACTGAAAATATTTTTTTTTGGAAAAAATTCGAAAAAAATTCTTAAAATTCAAAAATCCCTTAATTCCTGAGGATTTTGGAAAAAAGTTTTTACATGAACATGTGTATATTATATGAAGTATATTGATAAGGTAAAAATCAAATTTTATTGCATATTCATCGAGAAAATAAACTAACGAATCCCTCAAAATTGAGAGGGTAATCCTCCTCCTCTCAAATAAACGTACATACGGGTGCACCCTTAATATTTTTTTGTTTATTTTATTATAATGACACTTTTTCACCACCATCAACAAAAATCATAAAAACATTTAAATTTGCCATTTTGGAAATTCTTAAAACCTTGCAACGTTGAATTGAATATGCCAATTTGAAATGACGGCAGAACGATAAAATAAAAATATAAAATCAATTCTATGGGAGAATCATTCAGTACGAATAGTTACTGGCTTTGTTTTAAGAAGAAAGGAAATGACATGGCAATTTCGATTGAGGAGACTGGGGCTCCCGACGAAAATAAGTATACGATTGTAGCGAAATCACCAAATAGAGAGGATCTAACTCAGATTTGGGTTTACAATGCAGAATCTCAAAGGTTCGTTTCTCTTTTTTACCCATTTGTTAGCTTTATTGAAGAAAAGGTCGATGACCAACACAGTAAGCTGGCAATAGCCGAAATTGACTATGGTAAGAACGTTAATCAAACGTTTTCATTTTACTCGGGCTTTATAGCAAACAAAAATCTCGAAAAATTCATAATTCCTACGGAAGATCCAGACGATCCTTTCATATTATCTTCAAATATACCAGATGATATAACAATGGAGATACACACAATTGACATTTCCAATTACTGTATTCCATATCCAATACCCGAAATACCATGTGCAATTTTATTTTCAATTGCAGCTGAAGAATATGCATTAACGCTGGGACCTGTCTTATCAGCCTATGATAATGCCAGAAAGTTAACATTCACACCATTTAAACTTGATGAAGATCCAAATCAGTTTTGGTATTATTTTCCGAATCATAATTACTCATTTTATTCCTGCGCAGAATCTGACACTGTCATCAAAACAGTTAATGATAATGGTTCCATTGATATAATTATGTCAAGTTCAAATACCAAAAAGAAAAATCAGAATTGGAAAATCTTTAAGAGAAGTATTTACTCTTCCAAGTATGATGCATTCCTTTCTATTAATGAAAAGCGCAAGAATTTTGCTCTTTGTAATGATGAAAATAAAATTGAAGAAAATCAATTTTATTATTACCCATTATTCGAACACAAGACAGGCATTCTTGCTAGAAATGAAGTAATATCTCCAAATGATGACATGAGAGATATGAGTTTATATAGCTCAGACTTTGATGAATACGATGAAGAATCTAGATATTACGCTTCGGATTCAGATCCCCTTCTCGATAATTTTAATATGGTTGATGAACTGGATCTCTACCAATAACGATTATATGTAATATTTGTTTGTAAAATAAATATTGTTTCCTTTTGTAGTGAATTACATTATATTCATACCTATTTTTAGTTATTTTAGAATTTCAATTTCATTAATTTTTATTAGCACTAACTTACTTGAAGATATATAGTGTTTATTTGCATATAATGATTGCCTTTCGATATCAGAATAATTGTAAGGGAATTCAGATACATTTCATCAAATTTTCTTTTTTTATCTACAATTTGCTAAATGACTAACATTCTTTAGGGCTTATTCTTAAGGTGAAAGAGTTAAACATACACTCATATAAATAAAAACATAAATTAGTCATATAAAGTACAGTTTTTATTTCAATTATAGAAAATTATAATTCTCTGTCAAATCTATGAGATCTCTTCATTCTAGCTTGTCTATCTTCTGCTTTACGGCAGAATGGATAACATTGTTGAAGAGAATTTTTAGATTTTTGGAGATTATTCCAGAACTTTCCAGTATTATCGGATTCAATTCGAGAACATAATGCAGCAAACGTAGAGCGTGTTGTGGTGCAAAATCTTTTAATAAATTGCACTTTGTCAGTAACATTGACCATAATTGAGAAATGATATAAAAATCTGCACGGATAACATAATTCTCCAGTAAATTCTTTTTGAGAAAATGAAACACAGGGTGAAATGATCTCGCAAGCATTTCTTGGGATTTTATTTTTGAAAGTAGCGTTAATATCTGATGTTATATTTTTAATAAGTCCACAATATGGATTTGTAGTTGAACTGTCTGCGCATTCTGTATTATTTTGAGGAAGAAGATCATTTATTTCTCCTTTTCTGAATTTATCTACAACCAAATCGCATACTTCGCAAGCCGAAACAAGCATATCTTCAGATGCGAATTGACTCCAGTCTGTGGTTATTTGGCGATCAGCCAGAAACAAAATCCAAAACATTGACAAATTGACAAATAAACTTGTCAAATTGTAAAACTAATATTTCGTATGTAAAAAATCATGCATATCAGGTAACATAGGACATGCAAATTATATTTAATTGGATAAATTTTGTGGAATTGATTATTTCAATTTTCCATTTTTGAAATTTGGTTCCAATTTCTTCTTGGAGGGGTCCAATATTCCAATAATATTTATTGGACTAAAAAGGTTTTGTCCTTACGTTCCATACTCGCAAAAATTATTTGTCATTTTATAAGTCCGTTGTCAAATTATCTCACAAATTTTCTCAGAAAATTGAGAGGAGGAGTTAACTTTATTTTATGATTGCTGCTCACGAGGAAAAAAGTTTCGTCGGCTGGATGCGTGAAAACAGCATGATGTTCACTGGTGATGAATATCATTTCAGGTTAGGTGTTTGGTTATCAAATAAAAGATATGTTCAACAACATAACGCCGGAAATTCCCATTTCATTCTTGCAATGAACAGATTATCACATTTAACACCAAGTGAATACCATTCGTTGCTTGGTTACAAGAATTCTGGAAGGAATCATAAGTATTCCATTATTAACGAGAAAAACGCAGGCTCACATCCAGATTCATTCGATTGGAGAGATCACCCAGGAGTTATTGGTCCAGTCAAAGACCAAAATGACTGTGGTTCTTGCTGGGCTTTCTCTACAATCTTTGGATTAGAGTCAAATTGGGCTGTTAAACATAATGCCGCCTATATATTATCAGAACAGAACCTTGTTGACTGCTGCAGTAGTGCAGCTGGATGCAATGGTGGTTTTCCAGCTGATGCATGGGATTGGATGATTGATGAACAAGGAGGCAAGACAATGCTAGAAGTAGATTCCCATATACATCTCAGGAAGGAACTTGCAAATGGAACAAGAAGAAGGCCGCTCCACCACAAGTTAAAGGCTACGTCGAAGTTGCCGATTGTGATAAAAACGATTTAGCAGAGAAGATTGCAAACTTAGGTCCAGCAAGTATTGCAATTGATGCTTCACTTTATTCCTTCATGATGTACCAGTCAGGAATTTATGATGATCCAAAGTGCAGCTCAATGAACTTAGATCATGCTGTTGGTTGCGTTGGTTATGGTGTTGAGAATGGCGCTAAATATTGGATTGATCGCAATTCATGGGGCGAAATGTGGGGCGAAAAAGGTTACATTCGTATGGCAAGAGACAAAGATAACCAATGCGGTGTTGCAACAGAAGCATTCATCGCTCAGGTTAATTAATTTCTTTATAACTTAGTATTGATAAAATAAGCTTTATAAATTTGCAATTATTTTGATTCATTTTGATCATATTTCATTATCCATCTAGTGCAGTTCATGAATATTGAAGTATTAAACTTAAGAGTTATGAGAAGTGAGAACAAAAAAAAATTTTTTTTGAGCTTTGAAAAATTTGTTGCTTAATATTTATTGACTAAATACATAAGCTTTATTTTGACCGATATTTTCTTCAAAATTTACCTGTGAAAATTTTTTTGTTATAATTCAAAGTATCATCAATAGTATACATAAAAATATTTTATTGTAAATCATAATTTGAATACATCTTCACAAATCTTGAAAATTTGTGAACTCAACTTTACAAAATGCTATTGCAAGCGCAATAAGCTTTAATATAGTATTTATAAGCTTAAAGGAACACAAATTGTTCAACAAGTTCAAATAATTTTTCTTCATTTTAAATATTGGCGATCGGATTGAACAAACTCTCTTTTATCTGAAAGCCAATTTCATGTAAGCATTATTTCTCACTGGAACATGATTCAAACCATATTATCAAAATTCTTGAACGTCTTGAAATATTCGGAATCATTGTATCGAACTCAAGCTTAATTACTTTGAATGACTCATTTGTACTCTTTTGCTATGCCAAAATCAGATTTGATCATGGGTTTCTTTTGTAATTAAGGCTGGAATTGAAATTTTATTTAATTTATATTATTTCGACAAACAACACAAATTTCTTCATAATTCTCGAAGCAAATCATTACAAAAGATTCATTTACATGTATAATTCATGAAATTTAAAAATTTCTTAATACATTCAGCAAAAACAAAGAAATCAAACACAACATAGGTTCATTCGCGCAGGTTAGTCTAAGACCATTGCAAACAACTCCATTTCTCAAAAAACAAAAAAAGACCAAATCAAATTTCGAAACATAAAATATATTTAACTCATTATTTTGAAAATACATCAAAAGACAAATATAAATACATCAAAAACAAAATCAGATCCAATACCGTATAATATATTTTAGGGGGTGACTTTTTGAGAAGAATATATTTTTTACCCCCTGAAATCTAAGATTTTTTTATATCTGTTGAAATTTTTTTTATAATAGTTTTAAATGCCTAAAACCTTATCAGATCTCATCGGACCAATTGGCAAACAAGATAGGTTTCAGTCATTTCATACATTACTCTATTCCATTGGGGATAAAATGAAAACTTTAAATGTTTTAATATTTATAGGTCATCTCCTCTTTGGACTACAGTTGAATTTCATGTACTTGTTCAACTCATCGAAGCTCAGCTGGAAATCTAACAAAGTTCACGATACAGTCCTTTATATCTTAAATTGTGTATTTTGTTTTACTCCTGGCATAACTACGACAACTCATTTAGATTATTTGGTCATATCTCTTCTAGTATTCGTTGTTACTTACTTAATTATCATTTCAACTTTATTTATATTTTTGAAATATTCAACAGATTATCAACTGGATAACGTATATCCACTCGGCATTTGCATCGTAGGACTCCATGTATTATTAGTTCCCGCGTGTTACTCAGGTGTTACGTATGCATTTTCAAATGAATTCACAAGTCATTACGGGATGTTCATTCTATCGATATTTGTCATCCTTTGCTCATACGTGTCAACATATATCGAGTATTTCGTACAATACGGCATCCCAAAAAAAGATTCAATTTATAATTCGAAAACGATCATTTTTCGGTTTTCCTATTCAATAATTTTACTCACAATTCCGATCTTTAACTTCTATATTACGAATAGAATCGCAATTTTAGTGATTAATCTTATTATGCTTATATTGTCAATTGTTTACATAACTCAACAGTTCAGACTATCATCTCCGAGGATGTTGATGAGTTATACACTGTCCTGCATCGTTTTCAGCCTCCTCAATTTGATAATTTTGATTTTTGATTTGGATGGAGAGACGTACGTCTCAATTTACATCATCGCGTTCAATATCGGGTTCCTCCTGAGCCTGCTGATATCGTATTTCACCAAGGAATACAATTTACTCCCTTTTAGAGAAGTTATTCAAACTCATGATTTCTCGAAATTCGACAAACACTCGATGTTTACACTCGAGAACATCATGACAGCGGCGAGTTCGCAAATAGACATCCCAAACGAGATCCTAGATTACTTGGCGTTGAGAAATCCTTCATCTTTCGTATTTAATGAAATTATCTTCCTCCAATCAGAGGAATACGGCAACGAGGAGCGAATGAAAGTTGCTCTCAACGCAATGCTTGAAAGGAAAACCGTAGATTGGATAAGAGAAACCAGAATTTGCGCATTTGAAAATTGCGTAAGGCCAACGTTCTTAACTATACGTGCAAACAAGGCCTTGAGTGACTATTCCAACACTCTGGGTATGTTTTGGAACGAAATCATCAATGATAACACCGACCACTTAATTTCCTTAACAAACCAGGTTGCATCGTCATATATAACGTTAACAGGATTGTTCAAACAGTACGGAACCGCTGGACAATTGAGTTCTCCTTATAATAAATTTTGCCAAATCACAAATTACAACACAGAAAGCCAGAATACCAATTTTGCGTATGCGCTTGTATCCAGATCTGGCAATAAAGGGGAATCCTCGTTCACATGTTCTCATTTGACCCAGAATCTCTTTGTATATATGGCAATTTGCTTATTAATCATAAATATGTCGATAAACTTATACATGGACCTGAAGATCAATCAGATGTGGAACGCCTCCATCGATGCCTTCAAGATTATTCAATCTGTTGCAGCTGGATCTTTCGTATCAACAGTAATTCAGCTGAAACCTTCCTTAAACATCTCACAGTACGTATACTCTAACAAAACATTTGATTCCAAGCTGGAAAACTTAACAGGCGACTTACAAATCTTTGTAAATGAAATTACAAAGCATTTAAACGAATTAAAAGCCTACAAGACCGAAGATTTCTCTCAGATAATCAATAAATGGCTTGTTAAACAGTTCAATGTTACCAGATTCCCTTCAACTGTTGAAACAGCTCTTGGTATTTTGGCATCTAGTTACCAAAGCGTTGTTTCAGGTAATGTTCCTAGTTACGATGGCTTGTATGTTAAAGGGAGCACGGATTTGATCATTTATTCCCAGAATCTTTACGATACAATTTCGGAATTAAGCAACTACGCGATCAAAATGGTTCATGACTATTCCAGGGTGATGAGGATCGTTAATCTGAGCTTCATTTTCATTGGTTTGCTTCTAATGATACTTTTTGCGTTCATTATGTTGAAATCCATATTATCCTTCTTCCAACCGCTGTTCAAACTGTCCAAAACCGACCTAATTACGATCACGAAAGAGCTGATTTCGTGGGTAAAGGACAATCACCAGCAACAAGAGGATAATAACATAAGATACAACAGGGAACTGATTATTTCGAAGACACATACCAATACTTACACCAATTCCATCTTCAGAAATAATCTAATCTTCAAAAGATTTTTTATGTATTTGTTATTCATCATAATACTGACTGTTTACTCCGAAACTATATGCTCTACGCTGAAAGGAGATGCTACAGATATCGGTTCGTCACTTTACGCTTATTTAATGCCATATCAACTTTTGAAAATCGGCCAACTCTTCTTGTTAGCGAGAAAAGATGTAGTATATAACAATAATGTCTCGAATACAAGAAGGTTGCTCGAAGAAAGTACTTTGGAATCGAATAATTTTATGAGATATCAATGTACTACGAATTCTAAAGAACCTGATATGGAGAAATTTAATCGTATAGTAAGCGAATTGAATCTTAATGGTCAAAGAACTGTTCTGGCCGACGAATCTGATATAAATGAAACTGCCACGCAAGAAATGAGGAAAGCGCACATCAAGAACCTCTATACCATGATAGAATTCGCTCGTAAGATGGTGAACACCGCCGTGGCCAAGTTTGCCGCTTCTAACCCGAGAGTTATGGATATCGCACTTTACATATCTGTTGATATTTCATCACCGCGCGACCAACGATCACTTTTCTCAGCTATAGACAACGCGGCGTTGAATATCTACGACAGCTTGAACAAGAATTACAAGAATGAGGACTTCCGGTCGTTGGTTGTCCAAATTATCAAGATATCAACGACATATTCAGACTTTTGTGAAGTTTCCATTCAGAAGAACTTAGTTATTCAGCGAGATAATATCATGTTCTCTATAACCATGCAAGCTATCCTTTCTTTCTCTCTCATTCTGTTTGTCCTGGCCATATATACTACAAACGGTACTTTCTGGTTGAATTACGACGTTCTGACGAAATGTATAATTTCTAGTCTTCCGAAATTCAACAACAGCAACGGTTCGTTAACAGATTCCATCAGTTTATCCACACGAGAAGAAGAGATGAAGAAATCGAGTGCTGTTGTCGTTGATATAATGAACTCATATGAGCTTAGAGAAGATTTATTAGAACACCATATTCTTTTGAACTCGAATGAGATTGTTGTATCATGTAGTTCATTAATCGAAGACTTTCTGAGCAGTCCTCCAATGCTTGGCCGGAAATTCGATGATTGTATCAACAGTATCGGTACAATTATTCCATCAGAGCTTACAAATGATGATTCCAATGGCAAAGCAACGCGTATTTTGTTTCGGCCGAAAGATGAAAAGAAAAGAGACATAATCATGGAAATCTTGAAGTACAAATTCGACAATCTAGAGATGAAAGAAGGAAATGTTAGTTACGTATGTGTAATCACTGATAAAACAAAAGAATACGAAGCAACAGTTTTATGGAGAAATGAATTGAACCAATTAAAATTGATTGGTTTACAATTTATGCCAAGTGAAGTTTACGACTCACTTACAGGTGATGAAAGTGTTACTACTTTACAGATAAATAACGCATATGTTAGTACATTTTATATCAGAGGAATTAAAGGAATTGATACTATTTCTGCAGTGAAACAAATTGTTATTTTGGGATGTAAAGAATATAATCATATTTGGCCAGTTGCGAGATCAACAATTGCGATCAAATTGTACTCAGGATTGTTGGATCAGAACATTTCACATTTCAGAGCATTGATAACTCTTCTGCATGTTTCGTTACGGATATCAAAGAATTTGTCAGATATCAATGTCGAACCACACTGTGTCATTTCTAAAGTGAAAGCAACACACGCGACATTCGGAATTGATACTCCTCCGATATTCGAAATGAGAGATGACAACCCTTACGACTTGATTCTCGCAATGGGTTCTCCCGCGCACAAGATATCTATTTCGCGTGAACCATACGAGATTTTGTACAACACAGGAATTCCTACTGAATTCGCTTTCTACTTCAGATCTGAAGGATTCCACAAAGTTTCTTACGACACTATTAATGAAGTCGAATCTATTATTGAACGAGAACAAATGCAATTAGCAATTGTTTGATTTTTGTTTTATGTATTATGTTTTAAATTATATTTTTTTGTATGATTATTATTAATTAATAATTTTTTTTCATCATATCAAAAAGATATCAATGGATCAACACCCCTTCATTATGCAGAAGGATATTTTCTTCTCTTCTAAAAAAGTGTGATGGAAATATTGTTCTTACTTATTTATTATTTAGTATGATTAAAAATATTTTTTTTAGTTTATGAAAATATCAATAATAAACATATTAAGGGTTCACTTACCACTTTCTGACATGCTCTTTATTTTAATAACAAAAAAAGTATAACAGTCAGATGAGGTACTAGGTAGTGAATTATAATAACTCTTTCCCGATTAAAAATATTAACTTTTTATCCTAGAAAATTAGGATATATAGCATAAGTGTCAAAAAAATTTGAGAGAATGTCAGAAAGTGGTATGTGCACGCTTAAGGCGCATTTTTAAAATCTTTAAGTTTTAATAAAAAAGCCAAGTTGAAGTTCCAGAAAATTGAAAAAAATAAGAAACTTTAGACATTAAGACTGTTGGTTCAATGAAACAATTTTCAGGATAATAATAGGAAATACTGTTAGTATCAGAATTCGGTTTATCTCTTTCAAATTTAACTGTTCCATATCCTTCTGTTGATTTTGATTCAACATATGAATCAGTAATAGTCAATGTGCATTCTTCGTATAAAGCTTCAAACATAATTACTACTGTGTTATTTAAAAATACACTGTGATCAATAGTAGTATTATATATACAACGTAATAGAACTTGGTCATCGTCTGTTCCGCATTTATTGCCAATAACATTGCAATAAGAAACTGCATATATTTCCGAATTAAGTGTACTGCCAAAATAAAGAGAAATACCACTGGATTGGTTGTTTCCTCTGAAAGTGGAAAAATTACAGTAACCTGATTTTCTAAAGGTCACTAACTATTGATGAACCGGAATTGCATTTATTGTAAGTGATATTGTTATTCTTAATTTGGACATCACCAAATGCCATGTAAAATGTGTAACTTCCTTCTGATTCACTTTCTCCGCAGTCTGAAACAGAAATTTCAAAGACATAGTTTTCGTTAGTATTAGTAGGTGGTACTTTATGAAAAAATGCATTGCAGAAGCTTGTATCTATTGATTTAAAATAACAATTTCGTTGTTGAACAATATGCCCTGCTAAATAACCGTAAAAGTAAACAGATCCACCACCAGATCCTGAAGTGGATTTACATCTATTAAATACAGACTCTTCAAGTAATACATATAAATCGTTACTTCTTTCGATATGAATTGCACCGTTTTCTGTACAATTTTCAAAGATACAAATAAAAACGTAATAATTTTTAGGGCTTGTAGTATCATATAATGCTGTTCCATTATGAGTTTGATTAACTTTATCTGCATTACCAAAATATTCAGACCAGCTGAATCTTTTTGCGTTTTTCATATTTGAACTGAGTTTCGACCATTTCAGATTGATAATGAGATATAATTATTTGATGATAAAAAATTTTTACTTTGATCTGACTATAATTTGCTAGGTGAGGAATGTGAATAATAATTTGTTAGAAAAATATGAATGTCACTTTTTTACAATTTTATCTCAATTTCAATATATTCTTATGTTTATGTCATCATCGATAAAAAGATGAAATACGAAGTAACCATTTAAATTGATTGGTTTAAAATTTATGCCGAGTGAAATTTACGACTCACTTTCAGTAGATAAAAGTGTTACAACACTTCAGATAAACAACGCATATGATGAAACACTTTTCTTCAATGACTGCAAAAATAAATCTGAAATGAAGTTTACAACTATTCATGCAATCTATCATTTTTTTTACAAATAATGCCGGTGAAGTTTCTGTCAATGCACAAAAATAAGAAACTTTAGCTGTCATTACTTTTGGTTCAATGAAACAATTTTCTGCATCTAATAGAGCAATACTAATTGTTTCAGAATTTAAATGATCTCTTTCAAATTTAACAGTTCCTAGTCCAGATGTTGAATTTGAATCAACAAATGAATCAGAAATAGTCATTATGAAACCTTCGAAATCAATATAAAACAAATATACAGCAGTGTTTTTTAAAAATGCGCAGTGATCAATAGTAGTATTGTATTTACAACGAAATAGAACTTGGTCATTGTCTGTTCCGCATTTATTTTCAATAACATTGCAGTAAGAAACTGTTTGTTTTTCCGAATCAGATAAAGTGCCAAGTACAAGGGAATTACTTCCAGTTTGGTTGTTTTCTCTGAATGTTGAGAAATTACAATAGCCTGAAGTGTCCAATGGATAACTATATATTGATGACTTGATCCGGCATTTGTTGTAAGTGATGTTGTTATTCGCAATTTGGACATCACCTGCAATAATTCCAAATGTAGTACTTTTTTCTTCTACACTTTCTCCGCAGTTTGAGACTGAAATTTCAAAAGCATAGTTATAATATTGAACATATTGTTGAAATGCCATGCATTCACTTGTTGCTATTGATTTAAAATAACAATTTCGTTGTTGAACAATATGCCCTGCTAAATAACCGTAAAAATAAACAGATCCACCACCATTTTGTGAAGTGGATTTGCATCTAGAAAATATTGAATCTTCAAGCAATGTGTAAATTTCATTATTTCTTTCGATATAAATTGCACCGTTTTCTTTGCATTCTTTAAAGGTACAAACAAAAACGTAATAATTTTTAGGGCTTGTAGTATCATATAATGCTGTTCCATTATGAGTTTGATTAACTTTATCTGCATTACCAAAATATTCAGACCAGCTGAATCTTTTTGCGTTTTTCATATTTGTACTGAGTTTCGACCATTTCTGATTGCTGATGAGATCGAATTATTTGATGAGAAAGAATCTCTACTTTGCTCTGCTTATAATTTGTCATATGTTTAATATATTTGAAATGTCACTTTTCGAAGGTTCTGACATTTCACAAAGTTTATATTATGGAAACGAAGGCATTCCTTAGCTATGAATTTTGATTTAACAAAAATAGTTCAGTTTCAAACAGCGGAACAAAGGATTATTAGTATTCCAATTGAAAACATTAAAGATGCACTTACCTTTTTCTGACATGCTCTCAAAAAATCAATATAACACAGTATATCAGAATGCTATTTAAGCGCACCATTAATATACAAACATGTCAACAATTAGGAAAATAATCGAATTTTTTTAATACTTTTTCATAAAAATTTTGAAATTCCAATTCCTTGATGAAACGCCTTCAAGTGCCATTGAGACTCTATATAGCAACGTTCCTCTCAATTTTATAATTGAAACCAATAGCTGATTCCCAACTGAATGATTTAAGTTGAATTGGAGAGTTTTGATTTTTTTGAAAGAAAATACTTTACAATAATCATAATTTTCTAAAAAATGTTTAACTTTGACGCGGATCTTTATAACATTGATGCTCACTTTACAGATGAAGCCACTTCAATAGTCACATTTAACAATGTTACAAACATTGGAACAATAGTTCTTGTTGGACCAAAAAATACCGGCAAATATTCTGTTTTCGGACAAATATTTGAGAAATTTAGAAGAGCCCCCGGTCTATCAAAAGAAAAACATGAGTCTAAAAGAATGGAAATTAGGAATACAATGTTTAGATTCCCAATCCAATACACAGCACAAGTTCCAACAGATTTGCAACAGCATCGTGAATATTTCGAAGGTTGCAAGACATTGGTTTACGTTATTGATGCAAACAAACCAGTAGATACTGACGCAGCAAACGCAATTCAATTTATTCGAAATTCTCTTATTGATAAAGTATCTGTTCATGTATTATTCAATCAGTCTGATCTCCTCGGAAGCAATTTAGATACAGTAATTCAAAACCAAACTACTTTGTTAAAACCTATCTTCAATGACGCTGTTTTTCATACTACTTCACTGATGGATGGCTCGACTGTTCGTGCCATTGTCGAAATCCTACAGTCATCCATCCCTCAATCATCAAAAATGGTTGAATCTATGGATAGATTTGCGAAAAGCCTTGAATTGAAGAACTGTTTCTTAATTGATCTTCAAACTAAGCTTCCTTTCCTTACAGGCGGTGACCAGCTGTCCCTCGAAACCTATGTTATGGTACAACATGCAACAGAAATGTTTGTTTCAATGGCATCGATGATGGATGCGAAATCTGCCCAATCTACAATGTCTATCGAAATGGATGGAGTGCATTACCATCTATTTTGGTCGACATTTGACGTAATTTTAGTTGGAGTCTCAGATAAACACATTCCGACTGCTACGTCTAAAAATAATGTGTTAGCGCTACTTAATACACTTAGAAGAATCCTTCAACAATAAATGTAATTATATTTTATTCAAATTCATATTTTATTTTTATATGAAATCTCAGTAATTGAGAAAACTGTATAAACATCCCCCAAAAAGAATATGGTTACAATCAATTGAAGACGATTTTGTGATTAATGAATGTTTATTAAAATTAAAAACTCAAAAAAATCCTTCATTCCGTTCGTATTTGGACAAAATCTCATAGTTATTCATCATTGCTGATCATATTTGGATGAAACCAAAATGAAACTTTTCTACTGTCACTTTTTCGAAACAGAAAAAATGAACATTTTTTAATTTTGCCTTTAATGCCACAAATACGCAATTGTAAACAAAATTGAAGAATGAGTATTGTTAGGAAGGCGATACTATCTAATGTCCTCCATATGAGTCTCAACAAAACATAAAAGAGAAGGAGATAAATGCCAATCAATCTATTAGTCTCGGAATTCAAAAAATCGTCACTTTTACAAAAAAAAAATTGAAGAAAGTAATTTTACAGAATGTTATTACTAAAATGATAGGAAATAGGACAAAAAACATTTGATACTGTGAATTTCATCAAACATTGATAAATAATAAAAAATTGATGTGATTTTTTCCCAAAAGACAATGATTGATGAATTTTCTAATAAGATCATACCTTGGCAATCAAGTGTCAGCATAATAAATCCAATGTATAAAGCAAATAAGAAATAATAAAGAAAATCTTGGTAAAAAGTTATTTCTGAGGGAAATTTATGACTTGATCTCTTCTGTAAGATTTACTTCGAAGTCTTTTAATGCTCTTTGAATTTGTGTTTCGTCATTTTTGAAAACGCATCTGAAACATTTATTTTTCTCATCAACATCAGCAGAGATGCATCCGTAATCTGAGAATAGTTCCACTATGTAATTTAAATCGATATCAATTGGAAGATCTTTAGTATAAAGCAGTTTGTTGTATGAATTCGGCTGAAATAGATCTACACCTGAGATTTGTGACATATCTCGGTCAGTCATAACGCACCAATTTTCTCCTGCATCAAGTATTTTTAATTTTTGTCTATCATGCCTTTTAACAATTGCATTTTGAGTTATCAAATCATGCACTGAGTTGTTATAATCATTTTTCTTGATTAAAACGCAATTTGATGGTATTATATCTAAATTATCCCAAAATTGAACTACAAAGTTGTCAAATTTGTAAAGATTATATTCTCTGATATTCGAATTTGTTGAAAATTTTATAGGGTCGTACATTTTTGAAGGCTTATTGTTTTGATCTAAAGTAAATGTTGCTTTCTTAAATCTTTCGTTCTGCTTTTGAATAGTTGCAAGAAAAGCATTAAATACTTTAACTGTTGGAAATCCAAGAGCATAATATGAAGTAGAATACGAACTTGGTGCTGATTGAGGCACAAAATTCATGTTTTTTTTGACTAGAAATTGTCACTTCAAAAATAGAAATAAATAATCCAATTTCATTGAACCACATGTCTACAGCTTAAATATTTTCTGTTTTTTATTTCAACTCGAAAATATTAATTATTTTTTGGAAAATATAAGTCAAAAATTTGGTTTATGCTGCTGTAATTCTTACCTTAGTGTTTTGCATCATTTTCCCTAATGACCAAACAACTACAACGAATTGAATACCTTATTGAAAATCTAAAGTCAAGTAGAACATGGCAAGAGATCAAAATGAAAAATACAAGAAGTAGTGTGATCTATCAGACACGATTAAACATTCCTTATAACGTTTACTCAGGAAATATTAATAAATAGATTGATTTCACTTTGATTTATAATGATATTTTTGATTGTTTCGTCTTCACTGGTAATGCACATCGAATATCAAGATCTATATGAAATTTACATGTCAATTTTTCAAATTTACTTGTCAAATAAAAGATCGATTTCCAATTTTTGTTTTTATTTTATGGCTGATGGCGAAGATACATTAATGGATCGATTGATTTTTACAGAAGGAGACGTTATAGCTGATAAATATCGTGTAATTTCGGACTATGAACCTGGAGGAAATTCGAATGTATATAGATGCATTGATTTGGCGAACAATTCAGAAGTAGTTATTAAGTGCTTCCGATTGATTGGAAATTTCGGAAATACTTTCGTAAAATTGTTAGCTCTATATAGTAATTTACAAAAAATTCAAGAATCGTCGTATTATTTTTGCAAATTTCATACTTGGTTCAAATTTGAAGGGCATACGTGCATAGTTATGGAAAAATATGGTCCCTCATTATACGATATTTTGAAATATTATAAATTTCAAGGGTGGAGACTAGAAACTATAAGACAAATTCTAACGCAAATTGTTCATTCCCTTATGATATTGAGATCAATCGGTAGGTTACACGGAGATTTAAAGCCCGAGAACATTTTAATTGATCCTAGTATTCAAATCACAAATTCTGATATGTTTCTTAATACAGCTAATCCACAACCAAGATATTTACAAGTTAAATTAATAGATTTAGAATCAGGAAGTAAATATTACTCATGGGGTCATAAATTAATTACGACAATCTATTACAGAGCTCCAGAAGTAATCCTTGGACTTCCATGGGGCCATGAAATAGATCAATGGTCGCTAGGATGCATTGCATTTGAGTTATATTTCGGAAAAATTTCATTTTCTCCAGGAGAAAGTGAAGCAAACCTATTCGGGATACAACATATGATAGGGCAGTTCCCAGAAAAGATGATAAATGAGTGCACAATCCCTAAATTCAAGAGACTTTTTGAGAATGGGCTTATTAACCCAAAAAACATCAGCACGGAGAGCTATGAGGCATTAGTAGGCTGCACTCCATTATACAAACTCGAAATGGACTCTGATTTGAAAGATTTGATTTTGAAACTTTTATCATTTGACCCATTTCACAGGCCATCACTTGATGAAATACTTAATCATCCATTTTTGGTGCCAAAGGATTAATATTACCATGAAAGGTTTCAATTATTTGTTTGTTCAAATTTTTATCCATGTAATAAAAACTATTGTAATTAATATATCTGATGTAACAATCAAAAGATTTATACTTCGATTGCTTTTGATTAAAGTTCTGTTCGACATTTGATGCAAAAATAATCATAATCAAGATAATTCCAATTTTATATACTTTTTGAGCGCGGACACGCTGGTTAAAAATATACAAACTTGTTAATTTATAGATTTATTTGAGATTTCTTAGTCCGTATTCATCATTGCATGTAGAATGACTTCTGAGCGCATTACATCAGAAAAATAAAAATATTGTAACGACAAATAGCTGGGCAAAAATTCACCTTCGTTATAGTAAAAATGCTCATTCAATATTCAATTTAATGATTCTTCAAGTTAGAGTTCTCTTACATATATTTACTCAATAAAAACATATCCAAATCATTATTGATGACAATATCATGCAAAATCTAATTAATCATTCTCTTTAAATTTGTTTGCTTAACATGAATTTCCAATTTAATAATAATTGTAAATGTTTTGATCGAGTTCTTTTTTTATCTTTTCCCACTCTAATATAACCCAAAAGTTATGATCCTTAGTTACTTAGCGCCCACAGAAATTAGATATTCTTTTACATCATTACTTGAAAATGAAAGTGGAGTCCGCCCATAATTATCCATTGCATCTTTAAATGCTCCAACAGAGATGAGATATTGAACAACTTCAAGATGGCCATTTTTGGAAGCTTTAATGAGTGGAGTATTTCCATCTTCATCCTTTGCTTCTTTATCAGCTCCAACAGAGATGAGATATTTAACAAATTCAAGTAAGCCTTTTTCTGATGCTATAATGAGTGGAGTATTTCCATTATTATCCTTTACTTCTTTATCGGCTCCAATAGAGATAAGATACTTAAAAATTTCAAAATGACCAAATTTTAATGCATCAATTTGTGGAGTATATCCAAATTCACCTTTTACTTCTTTATTTGCGCCAATAGAGATAAGATATTTAACAATTTCAATATGGCCAAATGTCAATGCCTGAATAAGTGGAGTATCTCCATAAGAATTCTCTGCTTCAAAATTAGCTCCGATAGAAATAAGATATCTAACAGCTTCAAAATTGCCATGTTGTGCTGCGTAAATGAGTGGAGTCCATCCAGGACCATCAGTTACTTCTTTATTTGCCCCAATAGAGATAAGATATTTAACAACTTCTAAATGATCATTTATTGAAGCACGAATTAGCATTTTGTTGATAACTCTATTCTTATCTTCTATATTAGATTCAACAGAGATGAGATATTTAACAACCTCAAGATGACCACATGCTGATGCTTCACACTATCGTCAAAATTAGACAAAGATTTAAGTATGAAATTGCTCGGAATCCTCTATGGTTGCACTTTCATCTTTCTGACATGCTCTCATATTATCAATACGTCTTTTATTTTATTTCAAAAAAGAATAATTGCCATAGATATTAACTTTTTATCATAGAATAGTTGGATATTAATCTTAGGAGTCATTCTATCTACTAATTCAGGCGGAATTGATTTTCTTCCTTTATTAAGGTACCAAAGTATGCTCGTAAAATCTTTTTTTAGTTGAAAATGATAATTTTGTCACTTTTCCAGACGACAATATAAAACATCCTCTTAAGGCTCCGGTTCCACTCTCTCAATATTTAAAATAGAATATATCTGTAAATAAGGGTTTTTCTTGACTTATAATTAAAGTCATTATATTAGTGCAATATAAGCTATAATATTATATCATGATATATGGCGTAGCATTGCCAGAAAACTCTTATTTTCAGTAATATTCATATTTAAAAATTGAAAGTACGCTTGTCTAATTTTGACGATAGTGTGTCGGCAAGAAAAAGGGTGGGACTGGAGCCTTAAGGGTGCCCTTACGCCACTATGACATGGCCTTCAATTCAGATATATAAGGTTAATTTTCAATGACGCTTCACGCCAGTTGTCAAAAATTTGAATCAAAGTCAGATGGGCTTAAGTGCAGTATAATCTTAGGTAAAAAAAAGTTAAAGAAAGAATTGAATTTTTTTATTAATAAAACTTACATTTGAACAATTTGTTCACTCTGGTTGATCATATTCTTCGACTGAGCCGTTGCATGGAGTTCTTTCACGAATTCCAAAGCGACAACTAAGTTTCTGAACAATAATTCTTCTTCGTCATTTGGAGCTTTGTTTTGTTGCTCCATTTCGTATGCATTCGATATCAGCTGCTGCACAGACTGTCTTCCGCCAATTCTCGCCTTGAAGAACTGTCCCAATTTCTTTGTAGACTCGAATAATCCGTTCGGACACTCGGCACAAAGCATCAAATATGTTGCATCATTACTCCACACTGATGCAAGCGTAATCAACAACTCTGTAACAGCGCAATTGACTCTGATTTCGTTGGAAACAAAGTTGTCAAGAATTGAGAGGGAGGCATTGAAAATTTCTGAACAATTGAATTTTTTACCATTCAAATATGTTGTTTGAGATTTTGCCAATGCCAAAGAGACGCGTGGTCTTGCTTCTGCGAGCTGCTTATTGATATCGGACTGTACGAACCATTCTGCGTTGAAAAGGCTCATGAAATCAAAAGAAACTTTGAATTCAGAAGGAGATTGAGGAAGTTCAGGGAAAGCATGCTCTAAAACAATGGTTGATGCACGGAGAGCAAGATATTGGACATCAGTGTTTGTAGATTTGATGAATTCAGGAAGATTTTTGACAAGATATTCGATCAAATTTCCAATTACTTGTAAAGAAGAGAAAGATGCAAGGATATATATAGCATTGGGCAAAGATTTATCTGTTTTCTCTTCAATTATGCATGGACGAAGTAAATTGTCTGAGAAATACTTCGAAAATGAATCAACATAAATTTGTGGGGCAACAGAAAGGGACATGTCGATCGATGATAGGAACTGTTGCTTTGACGCATCAGTAGCTTTCGAATCTAAGCAGTCTCTGATGAATTCAACGCATGTAGCAACTAATGGAGAATATGTAGTGATGAAAGTAAGGAGATTTGGAATAGAATTGGAAGAACTGAGGATTTGCAATAGAGCATCACCCATTACTTGATATTTGGAAACGACAAGTTGTGTAAATTGATGGATTAATGGAGCTGAAGACTCTGACTCAATAAATGACTGAATATCATCCGGAACTATTGTAATATGAAGAATAAGGGTTTCAATAAGCCTGTTGAACTGTTCTGAATTGATTGGCTGCGCATTTTCTATAAATTCATTTAATGGTTTGATAAGAAATGGCTGTGTAAGGAACTGCGCTTCTTGTATCTTTGAAATTTCTGTAAAGAAAAATGATACTTCATCAACAAATCCGTGAGGAATATTTGCTAAGGCGAATTTAACTAAATTGTTTGGAATTTTGTTCTGTTCAAGAACTTGTGAAACAATGTTGATCAATCCACTGGCAATTCCTTCTTTAATCTCGGCAATAAGAGTAATAATTAATTCATGAGAATTTATTAGATTCTGTTGAGTATTCTTTAGAGTTTGGTTGCATAAGCTGGTCCATGTACTAGTTATTTTTTCTTGGATGGAACCAGAAGTCGGTCCTTTCCCGATAAATTTTGAAAAAAATTCATTCATTATCTCAATTGTCACTTTTCTAATAAATCAATCAAAGTAATTTTATTATCATGTAACAGGGTGCATATATAATTTGAAAAAAAAGTTTCCATTCGCTATATACTATAAAATATAAATATTATTGCTGATATTTATATTTTATTGCTGGATGAAGAGGCATCTCGCGATCTAAATTTTTAAGTCGATATCAATGGTACTTAATTTGAGATCCTGGAGCCATTTACTATGAATGTCAGAAATCTCATCTGCATTCCGACTTCATACAAATTTTTACAACAAACTACTTTATCCTGAAAATTACCCAATCGATACTGATACAAAAGTACCGGTCAAAATGGTCAATTTCAAATTTTAATTTGATTTGTTTCTAGTCTTCCAATTTTTGTTAAAACCTGTACGTTGCAACACATTCAAAATTTCAGGAGACATATTTCAAGTTTGACATAACACATTTTATTATCAATTCTCACAAGTTGAGAAATTGATCAATTTTATTAAACTTATAATTTTAAAAGTATGATATAATATCACTTATTTTTGTGTTCATATCAGTAAATAAAAATGAATATATGCATTTGAAATATGATGCTTTTATAAAGCATTATGGTTCTGGAGCAACTGCAGAAGCACCCTTGCAAACAAAGAACCAGACAAGAACACCGACAATGGCACCAACAACAACAACACATGCAATTACAATACCTGCAATTGCTCCGCCTGAAAGCTTGTTGGAACTTGCTGTAGGGGTAGGCGTGTTGGAAGATGCTTCATTTGTGAGATCTTCAACTCTGAAAGCATCAGCTCTTTGAGGAATCCAGCCTGCAAACTCGGGAAACCATAGCTTATCCCCTTCTTTTGTAGTTTCATATGTAATTGTCACCTTAATTTGCTCTTCAGAACCGCCAACTGTTGTAGCAGGGCCAGTGACTTCAACTTCATTAGCTGCAGTTTCATAATCAGGAATTATTATAATTTTTACCTTATCTTTTGGTTCGCCAACAACTTTATAGGTGTTTCTCGATAAAAATGATGTTCCAATCCCTGCATTATTCACCTTAACATCCTTTTCTATTTTGCCGCTCTTGAGGGAAGTAATATATAGTTCATTATTTATATTTTGGCCATCTATTTCGGATACCCAAGATGGAAAATATTGTAAAATCAGTTGTACTTTACATTCTTTTTCTTTGTCATGACATCTAATTGCTGCGAGAAATCCAGCATCTGCATCATGTGTAGCACCAGGATTATTTATGAAAATAGGATTCGTTACTGTTTTGAATGGCTTTGATAAATCATTAAAATGGTATAAATCAACATCAAAGTCTGACTCACTAGCAACTGCGTATGCATAGGAAGAAATAGATCTGCATTCACCTGCATTAATATTTTCTTCGGTGAAAGATGTTTCTGATTCCTCCCAACTTATAGATGGGCAGTTTGGAATTACGTCTTTATCATCAAGTTTCATTCTTTTACCTAGAGCACTAGAAGCTAAACAGATAAATATACCTAACATTTATGAAAATTGAATTGAATTTGAGAATCTATAAAGTTTTACAAACATGAAAAATAAATTTATGAAAACTTTATAGATCCTTTCAAACATTACCAAAATCTTGTGTTGTTTGCTTCAGTAACGTATTATTGTTAAAAAGTCGTTATTTTAAAAAGTAAAAATTAGAATATTCAAATCTAATTGGAGGGTAATTTTAAATTTTAAAATCCTGCGACTCATCTCACAATTAGAAAAACATATACATGTATATATTTAAGTCAGTTCTAGAACAAAAACAATCGTTCTATGTGAAACAATTCTATTTGTAAATCACTCATTTACATTTTCAATACTCATCAAAAAATGAATCAAAATGTAATAAACAGAAATTCATCAAAAGTGACAGCTCTCAATTTTTTGACATTTGTAAATTCTAAATTGAATGAGAAAAATGAAATAATACTAAGCATAATACAATATTCTAGATTTAATTATAATTAGGAAAAAGTTAGTTTTGAGAGTACTTTTCATAGGCATATAGAATGAAATCTTCTGAAAAATAATATCACATAAACTCATATTATTTTCTAATATATAACTATTTTATATAAAAATCAAATTCAATGATCTTAAAAGCGAAGGATAAACCTCAAAATTTACGAATATAATGAGTGGGAATATAATGCTTATCTATCATAAAACCATATGAAATATCAATTTTTGCTTTACGCCTAATTTTTGACGACAATTAGCAAAAAATGTTAAATGTTAACACTCAGTCCATTTGAATATGAAAAATAAAATTGACTTTGATTAAATGTTTTTATTTATCATGCAATTCTTCTTGCGACCAAAGATTTGAATAAAATTTCAAAAAATAAGATAGCTTAAAAAATAATATACGGTAGTGTTTACTAATAGATGAATAGTATATAAATTCTATTAAAATGGATTTGATCCAAAAAAATATATAAAATTTGATCATAAATAAAATCGTTTTAAATTACTTCTTCATTTAAATTATAACAATTATTTTTGATTTTTATTTATCATCCACATTCAAATTTGAATCTTATCACAAAAGAAGGACCACTTTTATGACTAATGCCAAATCTATAAGCAGAGAATGGCTATTTGAAGCTAAAAGAAGAATAGAAGAAGGTGAATCTTACAAAAGTGTGGGAAAGGAAGTTGAATTGGAAAATGGTAAAATTAAATTGAATGTTGCCGAAAATACAATAAGAAGAGCATTTCAACTTCAAGAAATCGAATTACCAAAAGTTAGTCGCGGCAGAAAACCAAATCCACCAACATTAGTTAGTATACATATCTTGGGTACGGAGGCACTGCGCGCCTCCTTACCCATTATATGTGAATTTGATACTTTACAAAACCGCTAACGTATATTTTACAACACAAACGACAACACTAACTTAACCTTAAATATTTACAAAGCCGCCAACCACTTCACCTCACTAACGTTTTCACTAACGACTTTACTACTGTAAAAAATAAACGTTCTCATTTACAAAAGTATTGCAACTCTTCCCATTGCTTTGCTTCACACAACAGTTCATATTCTTCACTATCGCTGCTGTCACTCCAATCGTCAGAGTCAAAGTCACTGTCAAAATAAATGTTAGTAAGTTTTGACAAAGCTAATGAAACACGCTTACCATTTGTATCTATTGCTTTTGTTATATACGAAAACGATAAAAACGGTTTGACAGAAAAGTGACAACTTTACGTGTCAAAAATATAAAAAGTGATATTTTATTCATCATTATCTTCTTCATAATTTATTTCATATTCTTCGTCTTACCAACAAAAGATGGGAATGTGAACAATTGCGGGCAATTTTTAGCCATTTTGGCTTGGAACTAGAGCCTGCGAGGTACATGGATAGTATCAGTACCTCACAGGCTCTAGTTCTCTATATGGCGCCGAGAAATTTTGGTGAAATGTGGTCGCATTTCACCAAAATTTTTTCGGCGCCATAGGATGAATTGGAGGGTGAGAGATATTATTTCATACAATACTACTCTCACCCTCCAATTCCCAGCCAAAATGGCTAAAAATTGCCCGCAATGTGAACAATTGCGGGCAATTTTTAGCCATTTTGGCTTGGAACTAGAGCCTGCGAGGTACATGGATAGTATCAGTACCTCACAGGCTCTAGTTCTCTATATGGCGCCGAGAAATTTTGGTGAAATGTGGTCGCATTTCACCAAAATTTTTTCGGCGCCATAGGATGAATTGGAGGGTGAGAGATATTATTTCATACAATACTACTCTCACCCTCCAATTCCCAGCCAAAATGGCTAAAAATTGCCCGCAATGTGAACAATTGCGGGCAATTTTTAGCCATTTTGGCTTGGAACTAGAGCCTGCGAGGTACATGGATAGTATCAGTACCTCACAGGCTCTAGTTCTCTATATGGCGCCGAGAAATTTTGGTGAAATGTGGTCGCATTTCACCAAAATTTTTTCGGCGCCATAGGATGAATTGGAGGGTGAGAGATATTATTTCATACAATACTACTCTCACCCTCCAATTCCCAGCCAAAATGGCTAAAAATTGCCCGCAATGTGAACAATTGCGGGCAATTTTTAGCCATTTTGGCTTGGAACTAGAGCCTGCGAGGTACATGGATAGTATCAGTACCTCACAGGCTCTAGTTCTCTATATGGCGCCGAGAAATTTTGGTGAAATGTGGTCGCATTTCACCAAAATTTTTTCGGCGCCATAGGATGAATTGGAGGGTGAGAGATATTATTTCATACAATACTACTCTCACCCTCAATTTTAATTACTTAAACTCATTCTATTTTTTTGACATGTAAATGTCACTTTTACTGAGATCTGACACAATGTCAGATCTCTTTTTTTCGTATATAAGACTTTTATATATCTCCCATTATGTTTGTTGTCGTAAACGCTCAAACTAACTTTACCCTTTCTCCCTCGTATCTGATAGAATGTATTTTCACGAGGAACGAAGAACAAATTCTTGAACTCATGACCGTTGTAGTTTGTTATCTCAATAGTTTTCGTCATTTATATAAAAATAAAATAAAAATAAATGATATCACCACCCCCACACGTATGAAAACATAGCACAAAAATAAATTTAGGGTAGATGGGTATATCTAACCCGATTTCTAACCTCATTTCTACCCTGTTGAATTCATTGCTTTATAACTCTCTTCCTTTATCCAACTCTTCTAGCTTCTTCTTAAGTTCAGCAATGTTGTCTTCATGAAGTTTAATCTTTCTCAAAATTCCTTCTTTATCTAATGGTTGCTTTATCTTTCTAAACTGAACTCTACCATAGATTATTATATAGTGGTGCTATAAGAGTTCATGACATTGAAACACTTATGTCAAAAGTTTTATATCTTAACTATACAAATGTTTTCAAAGAGGACATAGAAAAATATATTGAGGGTATAGAGTTTGTGAGATGTCATTGGACAGAGTTGTATGAAAAATATAAAGACAAGGAAAATGTTTTCTTTATAGTGGACCCGCCGTTCTATAACACATGGGATTTTCAATACCAAGTAGACTGGACTTTGAGAGACTCTTTAGAAACTTTAGACGTTTTACATAACCATCCATGCTTTTACTTTACATCCGATAAAAGTGGTTTGGAAAGTGTCATGAAATGGCTAGAAGATATAAACGACTATGAGTTTAGATATGACAAGATAGAATATGAGAGAGGTCCTATAAACTGGAGAAAGTGTCACAATAAAGAAATTTTATTAGTAAGTAAATGTGGTTTGAAATAGGACTACTTGTTTTGGGTTTTTTCCATTGTGTCATTTATTTATTTGACGTGGCAGAAAAGTACAGAGAATATGAAGATGAATCAATGCCTGCAAATGTTCAGTATATGTACTCGTAAGAGATATTTTTATCTAATATTAAATGGACGCACAGAACTTAGCGAATGCACAGCAACCTGGACAACTAAACCCAGAGAATATTCCAAATGAAGTTAGAATACAAACTGCAATGGCAAACTATGGTCAAGTGCCAACAGATGTACAAATGCAAACTGCCATGTCAAATGACGCTGCGTTAGGTTTGCCACCATGGTATGCAAATATGAGATGGAAAGAGTTTTATACAAACCCTGAAGTGGGATATAAACAACTTTATGCAGATGACGCGAACACAGGAGTTGACCCAGAATATGTTTTCTACCAGAGGAGAAACAGAATGTATGAGCTCCAGTTAAAGAATGCTATGGAACTCAACAGGAAACGTAAGAGACTAGGCGGACATTAGATTTTTACATATAGTAAAATGGGTTTCTTCAGTAAGATAGGAAACTTCTTTCGAAATGTTGGAAGAGGTATATGGAATGGAATAAAAACCGTAGGAAGAGGAATTTGGAACGGTGTCAAAAATATTGGTAAAAGGGTAGGTCAGTTTGTTGGTATTATACCTAAAGACCCTGAACCAGAAGAACAAGCTCCTGTTATACAACAGCCTGAACCTGCACCACAGTCTAGTTGGCAACCAAATCCAACACCACAACCGGTATATTAAAAAATTATATTTTTACCGTTCGATAGTAGTTGTATATGAAACTAAGTTCTAAGTAAAACGCATGGTATAATGGAATTATTCTTTTTCTTCCATCTGTAGTAAACCATACTTGAAAGTCTGAAATACTTCCACTTGGTGGTTCGTATAACTTTGTAGGTTTTTCGTAAAAGTCATTTGCCAAGCATAAGAAAGAGTTTTGGGCGCCAGAAAATGAAGCATGAACAATAATAGCAGCTGGGTCGAAAACATTTTCATATGTTCCATTAGGGTTTTCGACTTCATAAAAGTCTGGGTGTACTGGATATGCTGCAGGCTGATTTAACATCCTCATAAATCTATACCATGCCAAGTTGTTATATTTTGTAGAAATATAAACGTTTTCTCCAAGGTCTTCTATTCTATTGATTTTAACAGTTGCATTTTTCCTGTCATAAATAATATCGAGATGGTATTCTCCCTCGTCAATGTTATACTGGTTTGCATATTCGATATAGATATCGTTTATTTTTTCTTGAAAAGCTTGAAGAGTTGTTTCTAAGTTTACAAGCAAACTAACTTGTAAAAGTTTTCCCTGTTCAAATTTCTCATACATACGTTTTTCTTTGTTATAGTATCGAACTTCAAAACCGACCGTAAATGGGAAACCATGTATGGCTTCTGAAATGAACTTCATTCTACGAAAGCCAATAGCTTTTGTGACAGATGGGTCTCTTAGCCATCTTAATGGGTAGTCAAAACGATAGCCTTCATGCTTTACGGTCTCTGTCTCAAACTTTTGACCGACATTAGTAAAAAGTTCATCTAATGGTTTAGTTGTAGCAACTCTTGAATTTTCTTTTTCTATTGGAAGCATATTTTATCTAGAATAAAAATGTCGAAAGATATTGCTTCCATGAGAGAAATACAACACAACCGACAACTCATTGTGCAAGCTCTAAATAAGAACACAACAAACTTTTCAAACTATTCTAAGATATCTGAGTCATTGAAAGAAGGAAACTTAAAACTGACATTAAACCCAATGACAGATGAGTTTCTATTTCAAGACAAGAAGAACAATACTGTCTGTATAAATCCAACAAAAGGAACTTTAAACGAGAAACCTATAAATGAACTTCTTTTGAAAGCAGATGTTGACAACAAAGCTGACAAAGAATATGTAGACGATGCAATAGCAAAAGAAGAAGAAAGAGCTAACAATGCTTATGCAACAAAAGAACATACTCATCCTGAACTAGCAGACAAAACATATGTTGACAATAAAATGTCAAGTGAAGTGACAAGAGCTGAAAACGAATATTCTAAAAAGACTCATATACATTCTATATCTGAAATAACAGACTTACAAGAAACCTTAAACAGGAAAAGTGCCGTTGGACATACACATACCATTGCAAATATTACAAACTTACAAGAAACCTTAAACAGGAAAAGTGCCGTTGGACATACACATTCTATATCTGAAATAACAGACTTAAACGTTAGCCTTGAAAAGAAAGCAAATAAGAACCATACACATACAAGTTTTACAACTGTTGCTATAGAAAGTATTGAAGGAACGGTTGACGGAACTGATGGGGATGTATTATATTGTAAACCTCCTAACTTTCCACAAGGTTTAACATCGAATGAAAACATAACGACGATGAAAAACATTAGATGTAAAGATGTTTATGTCATGAAGGATGAACATAATATTAAATTCACTGCTCAAGATTTATATGACAAGAAAGCAGACAAAACAGAGCTTCAAACATTAAAGACAGAAATGCTTCAAACATTATATCCTATAGGCTCTATTTATACGTCAATGAACTCTACCAGACCAGAAACAGTTCTGGGTTTTGGAACTTGGACTCAAATAGTCGACAGGTTTTTGTATTGGCAAACTCTTCAAAGGAAACAGGTGGAAGTAAAACGATTTCAGGTGAAAATTTACCTGCACACAGTCATTACATAGATTTAAGTACATTCAAGCAGGTTGGCATAAGCATAGATATTGGGATTGGTCAGCAATGACAAAAGGTAAAGGATATGATGTTAAAGACAACGTTAAGTTTGCTATAAATTGTTACTGGAGTAACACTGAGGGAGGAGGAAACCATACACATCGCGTTTCAGGATATACGCAAACAACGGGACAAAGTAAAGACTACATGCCACCTTACATGACAGTTTACGCATGGTATAGAAATGCTTAGTCGTCATTTTCAACTTCTTTAGCATATTCGTCAGGAGTTGTCTTATATTTGTTAGGAACTGTCTTTGAAAGTATACCACCTTGAACTTTGACAAGTTTGAAACGAGGTCTGACAATAGTAGTTTTATCTTCTGCTTGCAGTGTGTACATTTTGCCTGTTTGCCTAAAACTTCATAATATTCTCTTGTATACTTTCTTCTATTTTTACGAACACGAATGTGAGTACCTGTCGGGTTCCCATTGTTGTCATAGTCAATAGTATTTTCATATGGGTCGCGTTTGGGTATTTCTATTTTACTTTGTCACCTTTCTGAAGTTTGAAGCCCGGCATTCTTTCTTGTTTGTCTCTTTTGACTAAATTATTAAATATATAGTCTTTCTCTAAGTCAGGGTTGTTTTTCATTTCTTCGGGGAGTGGTTTCCCAAACCTTTTTGTTTACGGTTATTGTAAATATTTAAAACTTGTCTCATCTTTGCCATGGAGAAGTGTCTATATTTGTCGTCATATGACATTTCATTTGCTTCACCACCTTGTGGTTGGTTTAAGTCTCTTAACATTTTTATACAACCGTCAATGACACCAAGAGCAGAATGGTTTTGGTCGACAATGAAATATTGGTTTACATTTTTGAACGCAGATAGTTTTTTACATCATCTGATTTGAAAGAACTTTCACAGTCAGATGTCAGTTTTGTTGGATGGTATTTGTCAACGAATATTGTCAAAGCAGTTTTCACATCTAAAATATTTTTGGACCATAATGGTATGGCTTCACAGTATCTTGTGTTTTGACCAACAAATATTAACCAGTATGGAGGTCCATCTGTTCTAACTCTCGGAATGTTTTCCAAGATATCCATAAACCAAGCATTTGGTGTTGAACTAAAGATTTTTATCATGAGTGCTTTCTTTGTCGCTTTAGAAACATAGGGGTCCTTGTTTGGATTCGTCATTTTTTTACCCTATAAGAAATGGGTTTATTTGGCGCATTAGCAGGAGTTGCATCCAGATTTTTGCCCGCAGTGGGAACAATAGCCAGAGGTGTATTTGGAGTTGGAAGGAAGATTTTGAGTACATTAGGTATACTGAAAGAGAAAGCACAACCTATTATACAAACTGTACAGAAAGGTTGGGATGTAGCACGAGATGCAACAAAATCTTATTCCAAATCCTGAAACAAGAGGAAAAGTTCAAGGATGGATGGACAATGTAGGAAGACAAGCAGGAAACTATTATAACAAAGCAAATGACTACTATAACCAAGCAGGACACTATATGGACCAAGGTGAAAGATTCTTTAACAGAGGATATAACCATGCACAACAATGGGTAAACAATAACCAACCTCAACCGCCTCAAACGTGGGGAATGTAAAGTTTTTTACTGAGATGAAATGAACAATACAGCATTGAGACAAATGGGTTCAAGATGGATTTGTCGGCTTCCAGCAGTTACACAACGTGTTTGTCAAGTTCTTCCTATACCTCAGGAAGTTTTAGACCGACTTAAAAAACCTAAACAACCAGTTGAAAACAAACCAAACTAAAATTTTTTACTGAGATGAAATGACCGAAGAAGTTGAAACGGTAGATTTGACACCACAAACAAAAAGTTCAGAACCATTGTCAAAACCTGTCAAAGAACTTACAGATGAAGAGAAAAATTCAATAATAGAAAGTGCCAGGTCTGGAAATACAAACCCTAACTATAAAGTCACTTTTCATAAAAATGGAACGGCAAGTATCTCAAAAAGGAAACAGACTCTCACAAATAAAATATTGAAGTCTGAAGGAGCTTTCGAGACAACAGATGGAAAAGTTTACTTCACTGACCAACAGTTCATTATAGAACATCTCATTGACTTAGAGTCGAAATATTCTAAACTTTACAACAAACACAAAAAGTTGAAAGGAAAACAAAAACAAATGGCATATGATATTTATGAAGATGTTGACGACACAACTGTTCCTGCAAGTGAAGTAAAGTCAGAGGAACCGAAAAGTGACAAAAAACCGATAGAAGAAGAAAAACCAAAAACTGAAGATAAACCAAAACCAAAGTTTAGTTTCCAAACTAAACCAAGTCAACCTTCATTAGCTGGTATGGGTTGGCGTCAAAGACTTATGGCAGCAGGCGGTTATGTAAAGTAAAGAAAAAAAATATTTTTTTATTTTTATAAAAATGCCCCCATATAGAATGGATAGAAAATCTGCTAGAATAAAAGCAGAGTTGCAAAGATATGGTTGGAGAGTTTCGAAGAAGTTTAAATATAGGAAGGGAAGACCCATAAAAGTCTATGACAAATTGTCTGGTCTTCGCTACGAAATGGATTTGGAAACAGCACGTGCCAATTATCCAAACAGACTAGAGAGGTTAGAAGAAGAACGTCTTATGGACATGCCTTTCGATGTTAGTGAACCTCAAGTTGAAGGACACGACGGCTTTGCCAGATTCTACTGGAAACATGACGAACAATTGCATCCTTTGAGAAGGAAAAAAGGTAGTGCAGAGGATGGTCATGCTCCCATGGAAGAACAAGATATGCATATGAGAAGTACCGTGAAGTTAGAAGTCAAATTACATCTGGTCGAACCTTTACAGTAAACTTTGACGAAGGAAAGAACAAAGAAGGCTTCATGGGTGTACTTGCTGCAATTCAAGACGGAAATAAGAAAGGACACAATCTCAGATTGACCATAACGGATTGGATGGTCACATTTACTATGCACATGGCAATGAACAAACAGCTGCAAAACTTCTTGACGCTTTCAAGACTACAAAGAGAGAACAAATGGTTGACTCCGACTCAGACATTTTGAATGCAATTGAAGGAATTGCAAGTGTCAAGTTCGAATGGTACCAACCTAACCCTCAAGCAGTCAGACAACATGCTGGATACTTCCCCTTCATAAATAAGTCTGACATTGACTTGACAAGGTATGGAATTTACAATTCAATTGAAACAATTGTCAACGAACCTTGCATTCTTACATGTCTCAGGAACTCTGGTCTTGTTACAGATGAGAAGATGAAGTATCTTGAGTCATGTGTGAAGACAAGGTACATTCTCAGAGGTCAATTGGCAAAAATTGCACCGTTGGCAAATGTCAATATCCGAGTCAACATACCTACAGCTAAAGGTTCTTCACATGACGACTATGTTGTTGAGTTCAATTTACCATGGTTGAAGATTGTAATTGTCCACAACCACTTCATGTTGAACGAAAGTCTTACAAACCCATTGTTCGGAAAAGGCAAGTGCAACATTGTCAGAGCTGTAAACATTCTTTTCGAGAAAGGTTTGTTCGAACCAATTCCAGATGACAAGCTGACAGAAACTTTTGTACCAAAAGACGAAACAAACTTTTCATTGTTAGCAAGACCAAAAGTTGTTCCAGACAAAGTTCTAGTACAAAAGAAGTACACAATTCCACAAGGAGTTGGATTGTTCGGATACCAACCTGAACCAGAAGAACTTCCAATGAGGTTGCAAGAACTTCAAGATGCTATAATCAAACTTCCATTGAGACATCCAATTGACGTCAAATTGTATTGGAGAGCATCTGAGTTAGGTCAGAAGGTTTTATATGAAACAGGTTGCTTCGACGATGTTTATGAGATAACAGGAGAAGTTTCTCAGAAGATAAGAGACTCACTTGAATTTCCACAAACTGGACCAATTGGTTGCGACAAGTTCGACTCAGATGAAAAGATATACTATGTCGACCTTAACGCTGCATACATGAGGTTTGTCCAATATATTCCGACTGGAATTCCAAACGAAGATGGTGAGTTCCCGGGAAGGAACTATACAGTTGGAAAAGTCATACAACAACTGTATGATATTAGGAAAGCTTCAAACCCCAAACTTGCAATGACACTCAAATTGCTTATGAATTCGACATGGGGATATTCCATTAAGAAACCTCAAGAGATGAAGAGTAAACATTATGAGAAGGTCGACAACTTTGTTGAAAGGTTTTCTCCTTTTGTTTTGAAGTACGAATTCACTCAAGGTCAAAGTGGCTTAGTAACCACATTAAAACCTATTGTCGAACATTGGTCTTACCCTCAGTTCGCAAAGGCAGTCCTTGACAACTACAACAAATTCTTCTCCGAAGTCAAATCGAAAGTTGTGGTTTACTATGAGAACATTGACGCACTCATGACGAACGAAGAAGGGTACAACAAACTCATTGAAATGGGCATGGTCGGTGAAAAGATGGGCTGTTTTAAGCTAGATAAGGTATTTTCCGAAGTTCATGTAATATCGAAAAGGAAATATTGGGGCATACTTGAAGACGGCACAGAAATAAAACATTGCATGAAGTAAAAATTTATTTTTTAAAAAGTGACATTTTTTAAATTTTATTTGAAATGTACGCTGAGTTTGTTGGAGAAGACCGTTGGGAAACTTGTTTGTTAGATGAGAAATATGAAATGGCATACCATTTTAAAACAATATATTTTTACATATATTAAATGCTTCAGGTTGAAAAACAAAGAACAAAAGTAGCAGATACAAAACCGTTAGACTATATCTTTACAAATGCTGGTAGGACTATTTCAGATGAAGAAATTTCATCCCGAGCATACAGGTTTGACTATCCAATTCGTTGGCTTCAAAGTCCTTCAGATGCAAAGGCAATAGGATTTAGAAGAGTTTTGTTTTCAAATAGAACTAACACATTTATGTTCGCAGTATATTTTCATGGGCAGTATAAAGGTTCTGATGGTCTAATAGACAAATTTGACGAAATGAGAATCTTTACAGTTCGTTCAGACGAAAGTCTTGAGAAAACTCTAAATGACTTTCAAACTCAAATGAACAAATATTATTGGGAATTTCAAGAAAAATACGACTCTTTACTAAATGGAACATACTATCTGAAACTAGAATATGACAAGATGAACTCCACCGTTTCATTTCAAAAGATTGAAATTAACCCTCCAAGAGATACAGAGTTTTTATTTTGGAAAGTAGACAAACGTTCTTGGGCACAATTTCTTCGGTTACTAAACCAGAACGAACCATTACCACCAGATGGTCCATTTAAATTTATACTTCCACCAGCAGATTTGACAGTTTATAGAAACGTGTTTGACCCTCAAAATGTTATGTGTCATGCAAGTTTCAGTTCAAGCAACAATAGTTTTCTATGTATTGGTAAGGACTTTTATGACTTTGCTTCTAAATTCTACGAACCACCTAGTAACAGTTTCTCTGACTTTCAAGTTTGGTTCACAACAAATGGTGTGCAACATATTATTCCATTGTACTATGACTTTTATCTCGAATTGTCTTTCATATATAACTACGGAAAAGTGCTGAAAAAGTATTGAATGTGAAGATATTAGAAAATAACATTTTTTCTAACATCGTAGAAAACTCATGAAAACAATTTATTTTTGACACTTTCACAAAAAACATAAAAAAGGTGAGTTAAAATGAGATGTTTACTGAACTGGTTGGATGTCGCCTTCTGAGGTTATGTAGAATGGTTGTCCTGAGAAGTGAAGGAGAGACTGAATTGCCAATTTCATATGGGGTAGGGGGTTCTCCTTGTTTGGTATTTTTATCCAAGGACGTTTGTTTAGGAACTTAACAAGAGCTTCTCTTTTGGCGTCCTTTATGTCGTCGAAAGGAGTGTTTTCTGGTATTTGAATTGGAATTCCGGTCGAAGTCTCGAGATTCAAGACAGCCCTTCCAGAAATAGTGGTGAACTTGACCTTGGGCTTCATGACCTTGCGCAAGTAGTCTTTTACGCAGTCGTTAAGTTCAATTAGGTAAATTGCCTCGTCAAATCCTTCTGGCATTCCGAGTCCTTCCATCCGACAGGAAAATATTTTCCCGACAACTGGAAAAAATTTTCCGGACAAAGGGAAAAATTTTTCCTTCCGACAGGAAGAACTCTTCCAGTTGTCCGTCCGTAAACCATTCAAATTTTCGAAAATTGAGAACTTTTTGGTCGAACTTCAGAAAAAGTTTTTCCTTCCGACAGGAAAAAATTTTCCATCCGACAGGAAAAAATTTTCCGGACAAAGGGAAAAAAATTTCCTTCCGACAGGAAAAGTTCTTCCTTCCGACAGGAAAAGTTCTTCCTTCCGACAGGACACAAACGGATGTCCGACGTACCACCAACCGAGTCCATTCCCAAACCAGAGGAACCTAAAGAACCACAACAGTCTCCTCAGCAACCTCAGTTCCAGCAAGTACCTCCGAATTTCTACCAATTTCCACTTCAAGGTTACTACCCACCACAAGGCTTCCCGAACTACCCTCCTCTGCCTATGCCTTACTTCCCCAACCCTTGGATGTTCCAGCAAGCTCCACCCCAGCAATTCCAATCTCAATCCAAATCGAAGAGAGACCAAGAGTTCGAAGAAGGTCTGAACCGTTTACGCAAAGAGTATGCCACAGCTCCAATTGAGAGAAAGTTGTTCCCGGACCAAAAATATAATTTATGTTAACATGTTAGATCTAACCTCATTTCTAACACGTTTTCTAACCTCGTGAATTTTCATGAATTTCCTTAAGATAGAAAAAATAAAGTTAGTTTTATTTTGTATTTTTTTGTATAAAAGATATGATTTCAGGGATTTTTTTGACGAAGTGTCAATCTTCACTTCGTCAAAAAATAACAGTTATCTAATGAAAAAGTGTCATTTTTTTCATTTTTTTGTATTTGACGAGAATGTCGGGTAGATGGTTAGATCTAACACGTTTTCTAACACGTTTTCTAACCTCGTGAATTTTCATGAATTTCCTTAAGATAGAAAAAATAAAGTTAGTTTTATTTTTTTATTTTGTATAAAAGATATGATTTCAGGGATTTTTTTGACGAAGTGTCAATCTTCACTTCGTCAAAAAATAACAGTTATCTAATGAAAAAGTGTCATTTTTTTCATTTGACGAGAATGTCGGGTAGATGGTTAGATCTAACCTCATTTCTAACCTCATTTCTACCCTCTTGAATTTTCATGAATTTCCTTAAGATAGAAAAAATAAAGTTAGTTTTATTTTTTTATTTTGTATAAAAGATATGATTTCAGGGATTTTTTTGACGAAGTGTCAATCTTCACTTCGTCAAAAAATAACAGTTATCTAATGAAAAAGTGTCATTTTTTTCATTTGACGAGAATGTCGGGTAGATGGTTAGATCTAACCTGTTTTTTCACCTCATTTCTACCCTCTTGAATTTGTCAAGACTTCTTCGTAAATGTTTTGTCAAGACTTCTTCGTAAATGTTTTGTCATGACTTCTTCGTAAATGTTTTGTCAAGACTTCTTCGTAAATGTTTTGTCATGACTTCTTCGTAAATGTTTTGTCAAGACTTCTTCGTAAATGTTTTGTCAAGACTTCTTCGTAATGAGTGTAAAGGACCCAAAAATAAAGTTTATGTTAGAATGTTAGATCTAACACGTTTTCTAACACGTTTTCTAACCTCATGAATTTTCATGAATTTCCTTAAGA